TCTCGGTCTGCCGCCCAGGCTGGAGTACAGTGGCCGGATCTCAGCTCACTGCAAGGTCCGCCTCCCGGGTTCCCGCCATTCTCCTGTCTCAGCCTCCCGAGTAGCTGGGACTACAGGCGCCCGCCGCCTCGCCCGGCTAGTTTTTTGTATTTTTAGTAGAGACGGGGTTTCACCGTGTTAGCCAGGATGGTCTCGATCTCCTGACCTCGTGATCCGCCCGTCTCGGCCTCCCAAAGTGCTGGGATTACAGGCTTGAGCCACCGCGCCCGGCCTTCTACAAAAAATTTAAAAATGAGCTGAGAGCGATATGCATCTGTGGTTCCAGCTACTCAGGCGGCTAAGGTGGGAGGATAACTTGAGCCCCAGAGATCGAGGCTGCAGTGAGCCGTGGTATCGCTGCTGCACTCTAGCCTGGGCAACAGAGTGAGACCCTGTCTCATAAAGAAAGAAAAACCTGTCTTCATATTTGTTTTTATGTGTACAAAGTAATATTGGAAAGATACTCAGGAAATTAAGAGCTGTGGTTATTCATGGGAAAAAGGGGAGGAACTGAAACTTGGAAGGCAGATGCTGCTTCATAAACGTTATATGCTTTGCTTTTTGAAGTGTGTAAATGTATTAACTATTCAAAAAGAAATTAAATAGTTTGGAGAAGCCGCGGGCAGCCGAGTTGCACTCCAGTCTGAGCGACAGAGTGAGACCCTGCGTCAAAAAAAAAAAAAAAACAGACTTCTGGTTTGAGGCCCATCAGTTAAGTCAGGCAGGCAAGCAGCAGATATTTCCTGAATGCTTATTCTCCCCAGTCCCCAGGCCAGGCACTGGGGGCACAGGAGAGAAGGGCAAGAGGGTACCTCCCTACAGGAGGTTCCTGGAGAAGAGGCAGAGGGGAAGAGAGTATTATTCATCAGCCCTTTAGAAGCAGTACAATCAGAGGTGACCTCTGCCTCTGGAATGTTGTCCTTGGCCCATGACATCCACAGCAGGCAACTGGGGCCAGGAGTTTGTGACAGAGAAAAGGACAAAGAGATGAAGTTCTAATCCAAAGGGAATGTGTCCAGTAGAAATAACATTTAAACAGCACTTACTTCATGCTGGAGATTGTTGTAAAAATTTGACTCACTCATTAAATCTTTCCCATTTTGCAAGTGAGGAAACCAAGCCACAGAGAGGTTAAGTGACTTGGCCAAGGTCACACAGCAGGAAAGAGGCAGAGGTGGAATTTGAAGCCAGGCTTGCCCCCCTTACCAGAGCCCTTGTTTTTGCTGTGTTTTAAAGTCGAGGTGAAATTAACATTAACATAGCTGTGGCTGGTGGCTCACACCTGTAGTTCCAGCACTTTGGGAGGCCAAAGGGGGAGGATCACTTGAGTTCAGGAGTTCCAGATCAGCCTGGGCAACATAGTGAGGCCTCATCTCTCTTCTTTTTTTTTTTTTGTTTGAGACAGAGTCTCGCTCTGTCGCCCAGGCTGGCGTGCAGTGGCGCGATCTCCGCTCACTGCAAGCTCCGCCTCCCGGGTTCACGCCATTCTCCTGCCTCAGCCTCCCAAGTAGCTGGGACTACAGGCACCAGCCACTGCGCCCGGCTAATTTTTTTGTATTTTTAGTAGAGACGGGGTTTCATCATGTTAGCCAGGATGGTCTCGATCTTCTGACCTTGTGATCCGCCTGTCTCAGCCTCCCAAAGTGCTGGGATTACAGGCGTGAGCCACCACGCCTGGCCCTCATCTCTTTAAAAAAGAAAAGACTGGGCACAGTGGTTCATACTTGTAATCCCAGCACTTTGGGAGGCTGAGACGGGTGGATCACTTGAGGTCAGGAGTTAGAGACCAGCTTGGCCAACATGGTGAAACCCCATCTCTACTAAAAATGCAAAATTTAGCCAGGGATGGTAGCAGACGCCTGTAATCCCAGCTACTCGCGAGGCTGAGGCGGGAGCATCGACTGAACCTGGGAGGCAGAGGTTGTAGTGAGCCGAGATAGATTGTACCACTGCACGCCAGCCTGGGTGACAGAGTGAGACTCCATCTTGAAAGAAAAAAAAAAAAAAAGAAAAGAGATTGACATAACATAGAATCAAACATGTTAAATTGCACAATTCAGTAGCATTTAGTACATTTACGGTGTTGTGCAACCGTCATCTCTAGTGCCAAAACATTTTCATTACTCCTAAGAAGTCTCATACCCAGTAAGCAGTGGCTCCCCATTCCCTATCTCCCCAGCCCCTGGCAACTAGTAATGTACTTTTTGTCTCTGGATTTGCCTGGTCTGGGCATTTCATATAAGTAGAGTCATGCACTGTGTAACCTTTTGTGCCTGGCTTCTCTCACTCAACATTATGTTTTCGAGGTTCTTCCACATCATAGCATGGAGCAGTGCTTCCTCTTATTTATTTTATTTATTTATTTTTGAGACAGAGTCTTGTTCTGTCCTCCAGGCCGAAGTTCAGTGGCGCAATCTCGGGTCATTGCAACGTCTGCCTCCTGAGTTCAAGCGATTCTTGTGCCTCAGCCTCCCGAGTAGCTGGGACTACAGGCATGCGCCACCACACCTGGCTAATTTGTGTATTTTTTGGTAGAGATGGGGTTTTACCGTGTTAGCCAGACTGGTCTCGAACTCCTGGCCTCAAGTGATCCACCCGCCTCTGCTTCCCAAAGTGCTGGGATTACAGGTGTGAGCCACGGGTGCCTGGCCTCCTTCCTTTTTATGTCTCAATAATGTTCCATTGTATGGATGGAACATGTTGTGTTTTTTCCATCTATGGGTGGACATTTGGGTTGCTTCCACCTTTTGGCTCTTGTGAATAATGCTGCTGTGAACATTATATGTATATAGTATTAAAATTGTTTATTTTATTTTATTTTATTACTTTTTGAAAACAGGGTCTCTGTCACCCAGGCTGGAGTACAGTGGTGCAATATCGGTTCACTGCAACCTCCACCTCCCGGGTTCAAGCAATTCTCCTGCCTCAGCTTCCGAAGTAGCTGGGACTACAGTCGTGTGCTACCATGCCTGGCTAATTTTTGTATTTTTGTTAGAGACTGGATTTTACACTACAGTGGACAGGCTGGTCTCAAACTCCTGAACTCAAGTGATCCGCCTGCCTTGGCCTCCCAAAATGCTGGGATTACAGATGTGAGCCACTGTGCTTGGCCTGGTTAGTTTTATTTTATATGAATCTTATCTCTCAATTTTTTTTTTTTTTTTTTTTTTTTTTTTGAGACAGAGTTTCGCTCTTGTTGCCCAGGCTGCAGTGTAATGGCGTGATCTCCGCTCACTGCATCCTCTGCCTCCCAGGTTCAAGAGATTCTCCTGCCTTAGCTTCCCAAGTAGCTGGAATTACAGGCACCTGCCACCATGCCCAGTAAATTTTTGTAGTTTTAGTAGAGACGGGGTTTCATCGTGTTGGCCAGGCTGGTCTCAAACTCTTGATCTCAAGTGATCCACCCGCCTCAACCTCCCAAAGTGCTGGGATTACAGGCGTGAGCCACCGTGCCCGGCCTCAATTTTTATTTATTTATTTATTTTTTAGACAAGGTTTTGCTCCGTTGTACAGGCTGGAGTGCAGTGATGCAATCTCAGCTCATGGCAGCCTTGAACATTTAAGCAGAAGTGATGCTCCCACCTCAGCCTCCTGAGTACCTGGGACGACAGATGTGTGCCACACACCCGGCTAATTTTTAAATTATTTGTACAGGTGGGGTTTTACCATGTTGCCCAGGCTGGTCTGGAACTCTTGGGCTCAAGCGATACTCCTGCCTTGGGTGCCCAAAGTTCTGGAATTACAGGCGTGAGCCACTATTCCCAGCCTCTCTCTCTCTCTATATATATATATATATATATAATTTTTATTTTATTATTATTATTATTATTTTTTTTTGAGACAGAGTCTCACTCTGTCGCCCACGCTGGCACACAGTGGCTTAATCTTGGCTCACTGCAGACTGTGCCTCCTGGGTTCAAGTGATTCTCCTGCCTCAGACTCCCGAGTAACTGGGATTACAGGCATGCGCCACCACGCCTGGCTTTTTTTGTATTTTTAGTAGAGATGGGGTTTCTCCATGTTGGCCAGGCGAGGTGGCGGGCGCCTGTAGTCCCAGCTGCTCGGGAGGCTGAGGCAGGAGAATGGCATGAACCCGGGAGGCGGAGCTTGCAGTGAGTGGAGATCGCGCCACTGCACTCCAGCCTGGGCAACAGAGCGAGACTCTGTCTCAAAAAAAATAAAATAAAATAAAAAATAAAATAAAATTAGCTGGGTGTGGTGGTGTGTGCCTGTAGTCTCAGCTACTCAGGAAGCTGAGGCAGGAGAATCGCTTGAACCTGGGAGGCAGAAGTTGCAGTGAGCTGAGATTACACCATTGCACTCCAGCCTGGTGACAGAGGAAGACTTCATCTCAAAACAAACAAACAAACAACAACAAAAAAAAACATGATGTACTTGAATCATCCCAAAACCATCCCCCCAACACTCCATCCATGGAAAAATTGTCTTCTATGAAACCGGTTTCTGGTGTCAAAAATGTTGGCATCTGCTTCCTCAGGACACCCTTCTGTGTCTCCATTTCCTCATTTGTAATATGGGAATTGTCTTAGTCCTGAATTGATAACCCCATGCTCCTAAAAGTGTGGTTTCGGCTGGGCGTGGTGTCTCATGCCTGTAATCCCAACACTTTGGGAGGCCGAGGCGGGCGGATCACGAGGTCAGGAGATGGAGACCATCCTGGCTAACACGGTGAAACCCCGACTGTACTAAAAATACAAAAAATTAGCCGGGTGTGGTGGCGGGTGCCTGTAGTCCCACCTACTCGGGAGGCTGAGGCAGGAGAGTGGCCTGAACCCAGGAGGTGGAGCTTGCAGTGAGCCGAGATAGTGCCACTGCACTCCAGCCTGGGCGACAGAGCAAGACTCCGCCTAAAAAAAATAAATAAATAAAAATTAAAAATAAAATAAAATAAAATATAAATAAATAAATAAACAAACAAATAAAATGCTTAGAGCAGTGTGCCTGGCCCCATAGTGCATACTGCATGGGCATTCATTGTTATTATCTTTGAAGAGGTCCAGGACCCTAACGTTGTGGGGGTCTGGTTGCGTCCTCTTGCCCCGCCTGTTGGGATTATTCATTTCTGGTCTCTGCGGGATGGAGACCTTCTCGCCTCTCTGTCAATGATGATGACAATGAGCTGGGCCACGTCACCCTGTCCCTAGCAAAAGGTTATCACTTCGTTGGGGACACGAGAAAGGCCGGGTTGCTGGGGCCGTGCCTGTCTCCTCTCTGCTGGAGAAGATAAGGGAGGCACTCAGCTTTCTTCAGGCAGAGTGTGGGGGAGCCACGATGTATAAAAGGGGGACCAAGAGGCAGCGGAGACACTGGCCCACTCACACATCGGAGGCATCTCTGTCCAGCATGGCCAGGTACACGCTGCTGCTGCTCCTGGCGGCGTGGGTGCTGACTGGGGAGCTGTGGCCGGGGACTGAGGCCCGGGCAGCGCCTTACGGAGTGAAGCTTTGCGGGCGAGAATTCATCCGAGCAGTCATCTTCACCTGCGGGGGATCCCGGTGGAGACGATCGGACATCCTGGCCCACGAGACTATGGGTGAGGCTGGGGAGAGAGTGGATATGGGAGAGGAACGGGTGGCTGGATGGGTCCCAGGAGCTAAGGACAGAGATGAGAAGAGGTTGCTGGAGGAGGAGGGTCCTTGCTCTGCCACATTCAGCCAGGGATACCTGCCCAGCCTTGAAAGAAGGGCTCAGGAGTTAGCAGAGCTGCAGAGCTGGGATGGGGGGGGTTGCAAGCCATCCCTGGGGACTGGAAGTCCAAGCACAGGTTACTCTTTTCTGAGCAGCTGCTATGTGTCCTGTGCAAAGCAAAGCTGCTGCTTGTATGCTCCGGAGGTGGGGGCGGGGAGAGCGCCATTCGCAAAGACAACACCAAAGTGGTTTCCAACCCTTTCCAGCAGGTAATGTGAAAGGTGTGATATACACATAGCTGGATTTTATCACCTAATGCGTGACCTCTCTCCAGCAAGCTGGTTTCTCCTCCCGTCTCTGTCTTTTTTTTTTTTTGAGATGTGGTCTCACTCCATTGCCCAGGCTTGAAGGCAGTGGCCCAATCACTGCTCACCGCAGCTTTGACCTCCCAGGCTCAAGCGATCCTCCCGCCTCAGCCTCCAGAGTAATTGAGACCACAGGCACCTGACACCACGCCTGGCTAGTTTTAATTTTTTTTTTTTTTTTTGTAGAAACAGGGTCTCACTATGTTACCTAGGCTGGTCTCAAACTCCTGGGCTCAAGTGATCCTCCTGCTTCAGCCTCCCTAAGTGCTGAGATTGGAGTCTCTGAGTGGCTTTATCTTCAAATGGGAGACACAGTTCCTGAACCGTGCAGGATTAAGTGGTGTGATTAAGTCAAAAGAGATTAGGTCAGAGTCTAAGCAGGGCAGTGGCACAGTCTGGGATCTATCAGGAGAGTTGGAGGGAACAGAAGACCTAGCTTCATGAGGGGCAGGGGCCTGGGAAATAGATATTCATGTTGGTGAGAAGGAGGATAGGTATGAGCGTGGACCTAGAAGACACACCACTTGGATTCAGATAGTAACTCTACAACGTAATAGTTGTGTGTTCATGTGCTAATCTTTTTTTTTTTTTTTTTTTTTTTTTTTTTTGAGACAGAGTCTCGCTCTGTCACCCAGGCTGGAGTGCAGCGGCGTGATCTCCGCTCACTGCAAACTCCACCTCCTGGGTTCAGGCCATTCTCCTGCCTCAGCCTCCGGAGTAGCTGGGACTGCAGGCACCTGCAACCACATCCTGCTAATTTTTTATATTTTTTTAGTAGAGATGGGGTTTCACCATGTTAGCCAGGAGGGTCTCGATTTCCTGACCTCATGATCCACCCGCCTTGGCCTCCCAAAGTGCTGGGATTCCAGGCATGAGCCACTGTGCCCGGCTTTTTTTTTTTTTTTTTTTTTTTTTTTGAGATAGAGTCTCATTCTGTTGCCCAGGCTGGAGTGCAGTGGTGCAATCTCGGCTTACTGTAACCTCCATCTCCTGGGTTCAAGTGATTCTCATGCCTCAGCCTCCCAAGTAGCTGGGATTACAGGTGTGTGCCACCATACCCCACTAATCTTTTTATTTTTAGTAGAGACAGGGTTTCATCATGTTGGCCAGGCTGGTCTCAAACTCCTGACCTCAGGTGATCCACCAACCTCAGCCTCCCAAATGCTGGGATTACAGACATGAGCCACCACGCCTGGCCGTGCAAATTCTTTACTGAGTCCTGCCTCAGTGGTCTCCTCTGGAAAATAGGGGTGCTAACTGCACCCACCTCAACTGGTTGTCACTGAGAAGAATAAAGAAGTTAACTTGCTAAAGCACTTAAACGTTGTTTGACACACAGTAAGTGATCAATAAATTATTATTATTATTATTATTATTATTTTAGAGACAGGATCTTGCCCTGTTGCCCAGGCTGGAGTGCAGTGGTATGATCACAGCTCACTGCAGCCTCAACCTCTTGGGCTCAAGCAATTCTCCTGCCTCAGCCTCCTGAGTAGCTGGGACTACAGGCTTGTGCCACCATCTCTAACTTATGCCACCATGACTAACTTATTATTATTTGTAGAAACAGGGTAGTGCTGTGTTGCCCAGGCTTTTCTTGAACTCCTGGTTCTAGTGATCCTCCTGCATGGGCTCCTGGAAGTTCTGGGATTACGGGTATGAGCCACCATGCCTGAACTAAATAATCATTTTTGAGTGCTCATCATGTCCCAGACATTGTTCTAAGTTTTTTTTTTTTTTTAAATGGATATTAACTCCTCTACTCCTTATAAAACTTGAGAAGGTTGGAGTAATTATGTTTTTCCACTTTGCAGAAAAGAACACTGAGGCTCCAATAAGTAAATTTACTTGCTCACGATTACAGCTTGGAGGGGCTGGATTCATGCTCAGTCAGCCCAGCTCCCAAATGTACCAGGTCCTCAATTAATAATAAAGAGTAAGGGAAAATAAATGACAGGGCTGGGTGCAGTGGCTCACTCCCGTAATCCCAGCACTTTGGGTGGCTGAGGTGGGCAGATCACTTGAGGCCAGGAGTTTGAGACCAGCCTGGCCAATAATGGTGAACCCTGTCTCTACTAAAAATACAAAAATCAGCCAGGCCTGGTGGCAGACCCCTGTAATCCCAGCTACTCTCCCACCTACTCTGGCAGAGCCAGAATTTGAACCCAGGACCAGGTGGAATCAAAACTCTGAACTATGTCTGTGAACTATGTCTATAACTATTGTCACAAGATCAGAGCTAGATCGTCCAGGAGCCAGGACTGTGGGTGCAGCGGCAGCTGAGCTCTGAGCACTAACTCTGTTCATCTTTTGCAGGAGATACCTTCCCGGAGGCAGATGCTGATGGAGACCGTCTGGCAGGCCAGCTGGATGAGGCCATGGGGTCCAGCGAGTGGCTGGCCCTGACCAAGTCACCCCAGGCCTTTTATGGGGAGCGACCCAGCTGGCAAGGAACCCCCCGGACGCTTCGGGGCAGCCGAGATGTCCTGGCTGGCCTTTCCAGCAGCTGCTGCAAATGGGGGTGTAGCAAAAGTGAAATCAGTAGCCTTTGCTAGTTTGAGGGCTGGGCAGCTGTGGGCACCAGTACCAATGCTCCAGTCCTGCCATCCACTTAACCAGTGTCTGGCTGGGCACCTGTCTTTCGAGCTTCACATATTCATTCATTCGTCTGCAAGTCACAGAGTCCAGGCACTGTGGGCTCAGGCACAGTCCCCCGACACCACCTAACCAACCCTGCCTTTTGACCAGCCTATCATGACCCTGTCCCCTGAGCAAGCTGTGCCCCTGCCTGGACAAGTGGGGACCCCTGATCCTGACCTCTGACCTCTCCCCAACCCTAACTATGCGTTTGCCTAGCTTACACACTCCACTGCCACAACTGGGTCCCTATTCTACCCAGACAGGCCACACAGAGACCCCTGCCCCCTGCCCAGTCCAAACTGTGGCCAGCTCAAATTAAGCCTCTTAGTCCAGCCTTTGCACGCAAGCTTCCTTTTCCCTGCTTTCCATCCCCTCTCCTCCAACTCCCCTGACAAAGTTCCAAGGCTGTGGACCCCAGAGAAGGTGGCAGGTGGCCCCCCTAGGAGAGCTCTGGGCACATTAGAATCTTCCCAAACTCCAATAATAAAAATTCCAAGACTGGCAGAGAGTGTGTGTGTGTGTGTGTGTGTGTGTGTGTGCGCGCGCGCGCGCGGTTGTTGGGCGTAGGACAGGTTTCAGGGATGCGCGGTACGCGGTACCCTCCCTCGGAGGCCCTCACCCCCAGACGCCCCAGGCCGCCTCCCTACTCCCCCTCAGCAGCCCCAGCGGGGACTTTCCGTCGCGGGGAAGGGGCGGGGACCCGGAGCGAAAGGTGCGGAGGCGGCCTGCAGGGGTGGTTCGGCTTCCCGTTGCCGCCTCGGGCGCTGTACCCAGAGCTGGGAGCCGAGCAGCGCAGCCGCGCGGGCCCGGCAGGGCTGGGCCGGACTCGGGACGCGCGGGGGGCGCCATGCGGGGAGGCAGGGGCGCCCCTTTCTGGCCGTGGCCGCTGCCCAAGCTGGCGCTGCTGCCTCTGCTGTGGGTACTTTTCCAGCGGACGCGTCCCCAGGGTGAGTGCTGGAGGGAGCTCGTGTCCCGGGTGCTGCCGCTGCTCTCCCCGCGAAGGCGCCAGTGCGCCAGGATAAGCCACGCGTTTGCGGAGCAAAAGGCAGAGGTGCAGGCGCCACTCGGCTCCTCCCGGGGCAGGGACCCGGCGACACTGGGGAATGGGCAGCAGCAAGGTAGAACCGGAGCCCCGGGGCGGGCTGGGGGAGCTCTCCGGGTGGTTAACAGGATGTGGCGAGCACAGGGAAAGGGGGGGTTTGCACGGAGTCTGGGGAGGCTTCCTGCTGCTCATTTCCCTAAGCCCCCCACCTTGCAATTGTCAGAAGTCCAAGTTCTGGGGTGTGCAGGCGGAAGTGGGGGGTTCGACCCCCTTTCCTGAGACCCTCTGACTCCCTCTCCAGGCAGCGCCGGGCCACTGCAGTGCTACGGAGTTGGACCCTTGGGCGACTTGAACTGCTCGTGGGAGCCTCTTGGGGACCTGGGAGCCCCCTCCGAGTTACACTTTCAGAGCCAAAAGTAGTGAGTACAGGGAGGTGACGTGGGGAAACAGGCTTTGGAGGTGGCCGCTCAGGTCCTAGACTGCCATGGTTGAAAGGTTCTAGGAGTCAAGCCTGGCCAACATGGTGAAACCCTGTCTATACTAAAAATACAAAAAAAATTACCCGGGGGTGGTGGCGCACGCCTGTAGTCCCCGATACTCAGGAGGCTGAGGCAGGAGAGTCGCTTGAACCCGGGAGGGGGAGGTTGCAGTGAGCCCAGATCTCGCCACTGCACTCCAGCCTGGAGGACAGAGTGAGACTGTCTCAAAAAAAAAAAAAAAAAAAGAAAGAAAGAAAAGAAAAAAGGAAAAAAGTCCCAGGAGTCTGCCCCCCTCCCCCAATACTCCTCCACTCCAAAGCCCTTCAATTCTAGCTTCCCTCGTTTCTCTGCTGTGTCACCCTGGGCAAATCACTTTCCCTCTTTGAGTCTCCTTTACATTTGTCTGTTAAATAGCAATCATAGGGCCAGGAGAGGTGGTTTGCACCTGTTATCCCAGCACTTTGGGAGGCTGAGGCGGGAGGATCGCTTGAGCCCAGGAGTTCAAGAGTTCAGAGTTTTAGAGAGCCCGTCTTTTTTTCTTTTTCTTTTTCTTTCTTTTTTTTTTTTTTTTGAGATGGAGTCTCGCTCTGTCGCCCAGGCTAGAGTGCGGTGGCCGGATCTCAGCTCACTGCAAGCTCCGCCTCCCGGGTTTACGCCATTCTCCTGCCTCAGCCTCCCGAGTAGCTGGGACTACAGGCGCCCGCCACCTCGCCCGGCTAGTTTTTTGTATTTTTTTTTAAGTAGAGACAGGGTTTCACCGTGTTAGCCAGGATGGTCTTGATCTCCTGACCTCTTGATCCGCCCGCCTCGGCCTCCCGAAGTGCTGGGACTACAGGGTTGAGCCACCGCGCCCGGCCTCTTTTTTTTTTTTTTTTTTTTTTTGAGATGGAGTTTCGCTCTTGTTGCCCAGGCTGGAGTGCAATGGTGCGATCTTGGCTCACTGCAACCTTCACCTCCTGGGTTCAAGCAATTCTCCTACCTCAGCCTCCCAAGTAGCTGGGATTACAGGCATGTGCCACCATGCCTGGCTCATTTTTGTATTTTTAGTGGGGGTGGGGGGAGTTTCACCATGTTGACCAGGCTGGTCTTGAACTTGTGACCTCAGGTGATCCACCGGGTGGGGGGAGTTTCACCATGTTGACCAGGCTGGTCTTGAACTTGTGACCTCAGGTGATCCACCTGCCTCGGCCTCCCAAACTTCTGGGATTACAGGTGTGAGCCACCGCGCCTGGCCGAGAGCCCCCTCTGTTAAAAAACATAAACTATAATATAAATAAAGGGAAATAGGCCAGGCGCTGTGGCTCACGCCTATAATCCCAGCACTTTGGGAGGCTGAGGCGGGTAGATCACGAGGTCAGGAGATCAAGACCATCCTGGCTAACACGGTGAAACCCCGTCTCTACTAAAAAATACACACACACACAATAATCAGCCAGGCGTGGTGGCGATCACCTGTAGTCCCAGCTACTAAGGAGGCTGAGGCAGGAGAATGGCGTGAACCCGGGAGGTGGAGCTTGCAGTGAGCCAAGATCACACCACTGCACTCCAGCCTGGGCGACAGAGGGAGACTCCGTCTCGGGAAAAAAAAAATGGCTGGCGCGGTAGCTCACACCTGTAATCCCAGCACTTTGGGAGGCCGCGGCAGGCAGATCACGAGGTCAGGAGTTCGAGACCAGCCTGACCAACATGGTGAAACCCCATCTCTACTAAAAATACAAAATTAGCCAGGTCTAGTGGTGCATGCCTGTACTCCCAGTCACTCAGAAGGCTGAGGCAGCAGAATCGCTTGAACCCAGGAAGCGGAGGTTGCAGTGAGCCAAGATCGCACCACTGCACTCCAGCCTGGCAACAGAGTGAGACTCCGTCTCAAAAACATAAAAATAAAAATGGAAATAATAATGGAAACTGCCTCTGAAGGTTGAGTCTGAGGGTTCAAAGAGTTAGGTGCTTGGCAAGGAGAAAGTTGCTTCATAATGTGAAGCTGTTTTTTATTGCTGTGTGACATCAGGCAAGTCGCTTAACCTCTCTGAGCATGTTAAAAGATTATTCAGTGTGGTGCTGGGGATGCTGCAGTGAAAGAGGTAGACAGAAAGCCTTGTCCACAGTCCAAGGAAGAGACCTGTGTTTCTTCATGATGAATCGTATCTGGAAACTCATAATTTCAAATTGGGCTAAGTGAGGGAAGAGGAAAAGGGCCAATGAAAGATAAGAATGGGAGACAGAGGTCCTGGATTTTTTTTTTTCTTTTTAATAATAATGATTAAAATACACACAAGAGGCCCTGCACGGTGGCTCACGCCTGTAATCCCAGCACTTTGGGAGGCCAAGACAGGCGGATCACCTGAGGTCAGGAGTTGGAGACCAGACTGGCCAACATGGTGAAACCCCGACTCTACTAAAAATACAAAAATTAGCCAGACTTGGTGGCACATGCCTGTAGTCCCAGCTATTCAGGAGTCTGAGGCAGGAGAATCACTGGAACTCGGGAGGCAGAGGTTGGAGTGAGCTGAGATCGCACTACTGTACTCCAGCCTGGGCGACAGAGCGAGACTCTGTCTTAAAAAAAAAAAAAAATCACACAACATAAAACTTACGATATTTTTAAAATTTGTTTTGGGAACAGTGTCTTACTCCTGTCACCCAGGCTGGGGCAGTCAGCTCACTGCAGCAACTTCCCAGGCTCAGGTGATCCTCCCACCTCAGCCTCCTAAGTAGCTGGGACTACAGGCATGCACCACCATGCCCAGCTAATTTTTTAAATATATTTTTTAGTAGACACAGGGTTTTACCATGTTGCCCAGGCTGGTCTCGAACTCCTGGGCTCAAGAGATCCACCTCCCTCATCCTCCCAAAGTGCTGGGATTACAGGCGTGAGTCCCTGTGCCTGGCCAAAATCTACGATTCTAACCATTTTTAAGTGTCCAGTTCAGTGGCATTAAGTACATTCCCATGGTGCTTTCCTGGTTACCATTCACGTCCAGAAGGGAGCCTAGTTTTTTTTTGTTGTTTTTTTTTGAGAGGGAGTTTCGCTCTTGTTGCCTAGGCTGGAGTGCAATGGCTTGATCTCTGCTCACTGCAACCTCCGCCTCCCGGGTTCCAGCCATTCTCCTGCCTCAGCCTCCCAAGTAGCTGGGATTACAGGCATGTGCCACCGCGCACAGCTAATTTTGTATTTTTAGTAGAGACGGGGTTTCTCCATGTTGATAAGGCTGGTCTTGAACTCACCACCTCAGATGATCCGCCCACCTGGGCCTCCCAAAGTGCTGGGATTACAGGCATGAGCCATTGAACCCAGCGTGGGGCCCAGTTTTAATTGGTGCAGGGATTGGGGAGTCAGAGAAGGTCCCTCTTTTCTATTTTTATTTTAGTTTTATTGATTTATGTATTGATTTTATTTATTTTGGGAAGAGGTCTTGCTCTGTCACCCAGGATAGAGGGCAGTGGTGCGATCATAGCTCACTGCAACCTCAAACTCCTGGCTCGAACCATTTTCCCTCCTCGGCCTCCCCAGTAATTGGAACACAGGAATGTGCCACTAATTTTTAAAAATTTTTTGTAGTGGTAGCTCACATCTGTAATCCCAGCACTTTGGGAGGCTGAGGCGGGAGGATGGTTTGAGCCCAGGAGTTGGAGACCAGCCTAGGCAACATAGTGAGACCGTCTCTATTAAAAAAAAAAAAAGAAAGAAAGAATAAGAAGAAGAGGAAGAGGAGGGAAAAAAGTAAGAATAATTTTAAAAGTAAATAAATAAATAATTTTTTTTGGTAGAGACAGTGTCTTGCTCTGTTGCATAAGCTAGTCTTGAACTCCTGGGCTCAAGCGATCCTCCCACCTTGCCCTCCCAAAATGCTGGAATTACAGGTGCCATTATGCCCAGCCTGTAATTTTGTATTCTTTGACCATGATTTTCTCTCCCAGCCTCTGTAGTCACCAGTTTACTCTGCCTCTAGGAGGAGTTCAAATGTTTTAGATTCCATGTATCA